TAGATATTTCATTTGCTTGACTGAGCTATTTATACATATTTAAAAATAGATTAAAAAAAAATAATAAATAATTTAAATAATTTAAATAAATTTGTGCTATTTAAAAAATTAAAAATATAAAATTTAATAATAATAATAAATAATAATAATAATAGTATTAAATAACAAATAAATAAAATAATACTTTTATATTAATATTAAAAATAATATTAAATTTATTGTTAATTTTTATAAAAAGTTAATAATATAACATTTTTATAAAATATATTTTTTTTTTAATTTTAATTGTTATAATTATATTTTTTTATTTTTAATTTTTATTTGTTATATTTTTCCAATCCATTTATGATAAAAATATATTATAATAAGCAGTATTTGTAGTAATCATTGTAATAAAAAGTAATCATTGATGTTATAATAAGGATAGCATATATAGGGAGTATATAATAATAATAATGATAAAATATAGTTTATTGTTATTGTTTTTATTTTATACATATATTACAAGTGCTTAGTAAGTATTGAAAACTATAGTAGCAATAGTAATAATATTTAACTTTTTTAACAAATAGGAAATATCATACTAATTTATCTTTTATTAATTATCTTATATAGCAATAGTAATAATAATAATAATAATAGAAACTTCAACTTAGAGACTATTCAAGAGGGTAATACTTTGAAAATAAAAGGGAATTATTTAAATGCAAACTCTAAATTATTTTTAAATCAACAAGAAATAAAAGCAAACTTTAATGGGAAAGAATTTAATGCTCAAATACCTTTGGATTTGTTAGAATATAACTTTAGTATTGAAAACTCACCTAATGGTCCAATCATACCAGTTTCATTCACCCCAAAACCAATTATCAAATACATATATTCCATTTTCAATAATAATACATTTTCAGTTATTATAAATGGTGAATTTTTAGGAACAACCATAAATAAAAAAAGCAACTATAATAAAATATCAATCAATAATGCTCAGTGTCTAGACCTGTCAATATTTAATAATGATAACACCTTAATAAAATGTACATTAGTTAATAATCAACAACAAGAACAACACGAAGAGCAGCATCAACAACAAGAATCATTAATAAATAAATATATATTAACAAATAATAAAATTAGTATACAATCATCAAAATACAATAGCAATGAAAAAACACTATATGAATTTAATGAAATACCGGTATTAATTCAACTCTTTGGTTACAAAAAAGATCTATTAAACGACAAGCTATTTTACTTTAATACTTCATATTACAATTCAAATTGGTATTTGAATTCGAGTATTAAACTAACCATCTTCGATGCCGATAATAACAATAATATAGTTTTAAATCAACAGCAACAGAACCAACAACCTTTAGAACAACAGTTTCAATGTGAACCTTTAGATGATAACCAATCGTTGCTATGTAATATTACCTTAAACAACAATAATATAATAAACAATTATAATTATAAAAAACTTTTAATGAGTGGAAATGCAGTTTTACAAATTTCAAACATTCGAATTACAAGTAAACCAATTAAATTTTCATCTCTTTTAAACAGTTTTTATGAATTTAATATAAACAACAATGGTAATATAACAAGTAAAAAAATCAATGCTGGCGCTTCCCTAAACTCAAACTTTCATATATTGTTTGCAACTTTATTTCTCTTAATTGTTTATTTATTTTAAATTGAAATAAAAAACAGTCATTAGAAAACTAATAAAAGTGTATATATAGGTTAAAAAAAAAAAATAAAAAATATATTAAAAAAATATATTAAAAAAAAAAAAACTATTTTTTAAACTTTATTTGTGTTTTAATATCTTTCTGAAATGACTTTAATTTTGCTTGGTACATTAATAAATACTGGTGTAGGTAATGATGTTGAGCTTTCACTACTTCCTCCATTACCAATACTATTATTGCTATTAATTATATTTAAAATGGAGTCGCTTAAATTTAGATGCTGTCCAAAAATAATTTTACCATTTGATCTTCTATATTTGGACAAAGTTGTCAATGGTTCTCTTTCTTCGATACCCATTTTTTGATTAATGCATACCATTTTACATCTATTGCAATCGCCAACCAAGTTGAACAATAATGGATGTTTGGTTGCTGTTATAGATGGACTACCACCTCCATTGCCTTGATTGTTTTCCTCATTATCGCTAATTAATTGGAATTGCGACCACAGATCCTCTTGATATGGTTTACCACCTTTAATGATTAAATTTGCTCTAAAACTATGCTTTGAAATCCAATTCCATTCACTTTTATCACTATTTGGGTTGTCACTATATATTCTTTCTTTTAAATCTTTTACACTTTCTTCATTAATCAAAAGATAGGGTGATTCATTGGCAAATGATATTTTATTGCTATCATCAACCTTAGACTTTCTAAAAGATTCTGGTGCTTTTCTAACTAGATAGCATTTTTTTCCTGTAAATTGGTATAGCCAGTTTGTTACATTATCGATTTGTGTTGCACTATTAAAATCCTTGTCACCATAAAGCAAACCATCGACCTTGTCACCACAAACTTGAATTTGATCAAAAGCTGAAACTGGGTAGTAAGAAAGTGATATTGAAATTGGTTTCATCTCGGGTGCAGTCAATACCAGTTTATCACTAATTAAATCTATATCGGTTTGAATTAATGCTAAAATTGGTAACTTCTTTTGATTTAAATAATTGCCACTTTGATCGATGATAGTCCATTCCCTATCATATTTTAGTCCCGATGCTACCAACTCCCATTTACCATTAGTAACTCTATAGCCTGAACATGATTTAACTGGATACACATATATTTCCGATAACTCAACTGATGAGTCTGATTGGCTATCGGACTGTAAACCACTTTCATCATCGCATGCTCCACCGCCACCAAATTCATTTTCACTTTCTGACTCATTGTCGCTTTCATTCTGTGGAATATCAATTCCAATACCGCCATTAATACCACTGCTATTTAATTTTTGATTATTTAATAAATAATTCATTTTGTTCTTATTCTTATCTCTGTTGCCACATGTAGATACACCATAAACCCTTGATTTTTCGTGATCATTTATGAAATTTGTTTTTAAAAATTCAACAAACTTGTATAAATCTTCAAAATTATTCATATAACCCAAAGATAATCTTAGTGATCCAGTTGGTTTACCATTTAATATATCCTTGTCATCCCAACAAATGTGACCCTCTTTGAGATGCTCTTCGATATCGCTCTTTGTTAGATTTAAGTAGCCATGACATGCTCCTGGATTACAAAAACAGCCTGATCTAATGAAAATATTTGATAATGATGCTAACTTTTCTACTTCATTGTACCCAACCATTTCACCAGTAGAACGTAATAAATTGAAATTAATAATTGCACCTTGTTTATTTGGGTCTTTATAATGGTTATCAGTATACAATAGACATAGCGGCATTTGGTTTGAATGTGTTAATTTTGAAATTTCCTCTTTTAGCCATTGTACCATTGAAAATGTATGTGATTGAATATTTTCCATACCTAATCTTTCCAATTGATCAAATCCTTCTTTCAATGAAATAATATTCATATAATCAATAGTGCCATCTTCAAACTTCGCAGCAATATTATCTCTATGAACATGAAATCTTTCCTGTGCCATTGATGCATTGACTGTACCACCACTAAAATATACTTTATTCAATATACTACTAGAATCTGAAAATAAAAAATAAAAAATAAAAAATTAATATTTTATTATCAAAAAATAAATAAATATAAGTGGGTAATTTATATAAATCTTACCATTTTTAACAATTAAAGCACCCAAACCAGTTGGAAAACCAAACATTTTATAGAAAGAAATGGTTATAAAATCTGCAGGATATTTTGAAAGATCTAATGGTGAGGTACCAACCAATGAAGCGGCATCCAATAAAACTTTTACATTTTTAAATTTCTTTTGAATTTGATTGATTATTGATAGCGGATATTTTGATCCTGAATAATTGCATTGACCTGGAAAGCCAAACAAACTATAACTAACTTGGCTATCATCAGACTTTTTACTTGCTGACAATTGATCGCCCTCAATAATCTCCATAATATCTGAAAATGAGTTGTTTTTGAAGTATAATGATGAGATGGATTGGAAGGATGCACCTTTTTCGCAAGCATACTCTCTAATACCCAATAATGAATTATGTGCCTCTAAAGAATAATAGAACTTGCTATTTTCACTCCATGGAAAGTATTCCCCAACCTTTTTTAAACTATCTGTACAACCACTTGTAAATATAACGCTATACTGTTTATATGGAGCATTAAAATGATTTAAAATCAATTCCCTAATGGAATCCACCGACTCTTTTGTTTTTAATCCGATTGGATTAATACTATCTATAATAAATAAAATATAATTGTTAATATTATACTGACTTTAATCGGTTTATATGAATATTGTACATACGAGGATTGCAATAAATATTATTTAAAAAGTTGCTTGAAATATTTTTAATTTGATTCTTTGATGGTAAAGTGGAAGCAGTATGGTCAAAATAAATAATATCTTTTAATTTTGGAAATTGATCATCATCATCATTACCACTATAATGATTTCTTAACTCTAAATCAATTGCACCGTTGTATCCGTATTCATTATTTTTTGAAAATCTATTTTTAAATTTTAAAAATTCTTCTTTATATTTATTATCATTTTCGAGTGGGTTATTTATTTTTTCATTATTTTTATTATCTACACTATTAGAACTATCTACAACATTATTATTATTATTATTGTTATTGTTATTACTATTATCTATACTTTTATTGGTATTTATAATTTCTTTTTTCAATTTATTATTTACACTATTATCATTGTCTTGTTGATTATTACTATTATTATTATTTAAAAATTTCTTAAATACAAAAACTGTTAAGAATGTTATTATTATCGATACTATAAATATTAACATTTTTATTATTATACATTATAGTATTTATTTAAAATACAATTGCTAATTAAATTTCATAAAAAATATTTTTTTTTAATATTTAACCATTTTTAAAAAAAAAAAAAAAAAAAAAAAAATTTTAAAATTAAAAAAAAAATAAAACAAATTAAAATCTATTTTTTTTAATTTTTTTTTATTTATTTTTAATTCACATAAAATGCAAAAATACAAACTGGAAAACTAGATAATTATGATAATATTATTTTTCATTTTCAAAATTCAGAAACTTCAACAAAAAAATAAAAATGTGAATCAAGTTAAAAGCTAAATAAAATTTTTTTTAACTTTTTTTTTCAATAAAAAAAAACTATATTTTAACTATACATTACTTTATTTACAATGATTAAATATTATCTTTTATTATATTAGTTGTATTTTATAATACTATTGATTTTCTGGAACAAATCTACCCATATCCCTTTCTAAACTGTCTTTAGATTTACTTAGTAAAATTGATTCATAATTTTTATTGAAAACATTATACGCACTAAGTTTGTTCTGTTATAAATAAAAATATAAATTAATAAAACTTGTAATGTGTTAAAAGTAGAATTATTAAATATAAAACCTACACTATCTCTTTTTCCAAGATTTGTTATAATTAAAACAAAACAAGATAAAACAAAGAAAACAGCACCCCATTCTAATCTTAAAAATATATATTGAACCAATAACCATATTAAAAACTTTATAATAAACTTGTAATTTGATTTGACTATTGATAAAAATCCATCTTTGGTAAAGAATTGATTAAATTGAATATCTACATCATCTAGTTGTTCGGTTCTTCTTAAATATGATGTGTTATCAATCTGTTTAACAACACCATTTTGAATAATAGTTCTTTTATTATTATTGGTTGGTCTGCTTGCATAACTACCTGAACTACCTTTAATACCATTAGAAAATGGATTATTTTGAAAATGGCTCATTATTCTATACCTATTATTATCTACTTTGATAAATCTGTATTTACAAGACAATAATATGAAACTAATTTAAAGAAAAAAAAATTAAAAAAATTAAAAAAAAAATAAAATAAAATTAAAAAAAAAAATTTTAAAAAATAAAATAAATTATTCTTTTTTTAGTTTATAATATAAAACTATTATTATTATTATTGTTTTTTTTTTTTTTTCTTTATATAAATAGAATTTTTAATTTTTTTTTGTTATTTTATTTTTTTATGGATAATAATAATAATAAAAAAAAAAAAAATTTAGTTTATTATTACTAATTTTTTATATTTTTTTTTTTTATAAAAAAAAAAAGGTTGTTTTGTTTTGATGGTTATAATAAGTTAATTTGTATGGAAAAAGAGTCGTTATTATAATTGTTGATTTTGTGATTTAGTTGAGATTGTTTGATGAGAAAAAAAAAAAAAGTATATAAAAGGTGTATTTGATTTAAAGTTGGTCTACCAAAAAAGTAGTTATTATTTGTTATTATTATTATTTTTTATATTATTGATATTAATTTAATTGCAACATTTCTTTTTATTATTATTGTTATCTATTGGAGGAATAGGTAATCTACCTGAACCTGGACGAGTGGTTGGTGTTTTTGGGAGTTTTTTAGCAATTTCTACAAAGAGTTCATTAACATTTTGTGATGTTTTAGCAGAGGTTTCCATAAAAAGAAGACCATTTTCTTCGGCATATTGTTGTGCTTCCTTTAAATTTTAAAAAAAAAAAACATTAGAATAAACTATTTACTATTATTTATTATTTTAACCACAGATATTTTCTATATATATTAAATGGTGATTACATACTGCTGTTTCAACTTTACGCTTAGCAGCAAGATCCAACTTATTACCAGCTAAAGCTATAACAATATTTGGACTACCTTGTCTTTGTAATTCTTTAACCCATTTGATAGCTCTTTCGAATGAGTCTTCGCTTCTAATATCATATACAACGATAGCAGCTTGAGCACCACGATAATACATCGGGGCTAAAGTGTGATAACGTTCTTGACCAGCTGTATCCCAAATTTCAAATTTAACTGTAGTATCATTTAAACAAACTGTTTGTGCTAAAAATGCAGCACCAATAGTACTTTCTTGATAATCTAAAAAATGACCACGAACAAATCTTAATACTAAAGAACTTTTTCCTACAGCTGCTTCGCCCAATAATACCAATTTAAATTGAAAAATTTTATTATTATTATTCATTTTATGTGTCTATATATTTATTATTTGATATTGATGTAAAAATTTGATTCTATATAAGAGTTTGGTGATTGTTTGGTTGGGTTTTTTAAAAAAATTTAATTAATATTAAAATTTTAAATTTAAAATTTCTGTATCCAAATTAAAATTTCCCAAAATAATATGAATAGTATGATGAAAAAAAGAAAACAAACAAACAAGCTATAAAAAACAAGACAAATGTAGAAATATTTTACAAAATTTAATTATAGTAATAAAAATAAAAAATTGGAAAAAAAAATAGTTATAATATAAAT